ACTCAGACAAACACACATCTAAACACTCTGATGGCCCCCGAGGGCCCCCAGTTTCCAATCCTGCCACTTCCTATTTCTGGCCTGCTCCTCCTTTACTTCCTTAGTAAGACTCTCTGTCTTCACACACACACTTGCTCACAGAGACACATTAACACTTGATGTTTAAATGTGATTTTCCCCAGGCTACGTGCTCCTTGGGGAGGCACAGGAGGAGACGTCTTCTCCTTCTCAGAATAAACTGCGGCGTAACATCTGTGCGCAGGAAAAGAGGGGCAGATGTGAGAGGGATATCCGTCAGGGGAGGAGATGTCTCTCAGTCATGTTTTTCACTTTGCTGTTTGCATTTCCCAAATGTGTAGCATGTCGTGTTTAATAGAAAGTTGTCGGTGCAGAGTAGTCAGGGAAAAGCTGAGACCAATTCACATCTACTGAGTTACATGTCTTTCTTTTTGTTTTAATCCAAAAGAAGAGAACAATAACTTTCTTATTATTGCTCTGCCTTTTTTAACCAGCTCAGTCAGAGCCAGTGTCATTATCATCTGACGCCTATCAGTCATAAACATTAACCCCCTATGAAATGATTTAGACGTCAAATCTGTTTTGATATGGTGTTTAGGATTCAAGTTTGTTTACGAAAAGCATTTTCCAAAAACAGCTTTTGGGATATCATTGAAGCATAAATACTGACATATGACTGTAATTCACGTGAGAAAAATATTATTCTGATGTCATCTGTGGTTTTACGTCAAAGGTTTACGAGATAAAATCCTATCCTGAACAAATACAGGATCATTACTCCGTGTCCAGTTGTTGTTTACTCGGTCAGTGTGAAGGCTGGAGGTCCCACACAGGGGAGGGCTGCACCGTGTCGCCCCAGTGACAGCTCACCATATGGGGGTACGGACATTCTCTAAGCCCTGTGGAAGTCCACACACATGGATCTCACAAACAGAGATAAAGCGCCCTGGCAGATGCCACCTCTGCGGTCACAATAGCACACACACACACACACACACACACACACACACACACACACACACACACACACACACACACACACACACACACACACACACACAAACCTGATCCTCCCAGCTACACTCGTCCAGATGATCAAACTAATTGTGTCCGGCTGTTTGATGGTAATTGAACATGTTGTGTTTTTGGTCAAAACTGATCCCTTACAAAAATAATATTTTTTAGGGATATTTGCTTACTGTTGTTTTGAGCTATTAGAAAAAACCGAGATGATTTTGTGTTTTCATTTCTGTCTGTCCCCATGTCACCTAATCGTTAGTTTTTGATTCCTTTTGTAGTTTGACATGTTTAAGTCTCTTAAAGTGTTTAAAAATGTAAAATAGGCCTCTTAAATAATTAGCCCGGTTTAAAACAAGTTAATATTTTTGTAGTTTTGGTCTGGATTTCTATCAGTCTTGATTTGTATTCAACAGTTAAGAGTTCGGTAAGTTGAACAAGTTTTATTTTTTTGTCCATTCTGAATTATTTTTCTTTAGGTTTTTTCGTTCCCAGGGTTAGGGTTAGGTAACCTTAGGTAACCCTAACTCTAACTTACAAGCGTTATTATTACTAATAGAAATTATGGCTAAAACTAAGGGAAACATTTGTACCTGATTTAGACTTTAACATTACCCCCTCCCCCACATACAATTTCCAAAGCGTGTCATGAAGTTTTAAATGAGTCTCACACCTTACAGGGAACCAGTGGTTTGAGTTTATAAATCTTCTTGCAGAACTGACATGACACAGGTAATTCACCAAAATGACATTTATTTATTTATTACCATTGTTCTATGAGCTATGTGAAGATGCTTAAAGTAACAATCACATCCAATGACATTTTTCTCTCTCTCTGTCATCTGTCTCTAGTTTCACCTCTAAATCTTTCTCTTAATTATCTTCTTTTATTCTTTTTTGACGTCTCTCCCTCTAATTTTGCTCAAAAAGTGGTCGCAATTTACTATTCCTGAATAATTAGAGTGTGGCTCTCTCCATTTAGCCTGAGGCTTACAGAACTAACATCTGGGCTGTTTGGCAAGCTGGCCGCCATTGGCCTTGTTGGAAAGCCTCTTCAATGCCGATCCAGATGCAGGCAAGGGAAGCCCGGCACACACAGATGGAGAGACACACACCCACACACACATACACACACACACACACACACACACACACGCACGCACGCACGCGCGCGCACGCACACACGCACGCACACACACACACACACACACACACAGACACACACACACAGACACACAGACAGACAGACACACGGACANTGTTGTTGTTAATTTATATGCGTACCTTGTGCTTTGTCCTTAGTTTAACTCAAGGGAGGATGAAATACCATTACATGATACATTTTCAGATATCTGCTTAGGTGGCTCACACACACACACACGTACACACACACACACACACACACACACACACACACACACACACACACACACAGACACACACATACAGACACACAGACACACACACAAACGGACACACACACAGACACACACAGACACACACACACACACACACACACACACACACACACACACACACACACACACACACGCACGCACGCACGCGCGCGCACACACACACACACACACACACACACACACACACACACACACACACACACACACACACACACACACACACACACACACACACACACACACACACACACACGCACGCACGCACGCGCGCGCACGCACGCACGCACACACACACACACACACACACACACACACACACACACACACACACACACACACACACACACACACACACACACACACACACACACACACACACACACACACACACACACACACACACACACACACACACACACACACACACACACACACACACAGATTTAAATGGATTCAAGGCTATTAGTACATTTTTCCCTTTACAGTATCTTCTATAGGAGCTATAAAAGAAACAGACTGACTGCGAGGTGAGTCTTCAGCACATCCCATCTTCCTACACACTGAGCGAAGATTATTCTAGAAAAAGGAGCCTAATACTGAGTAAATCCTCCAATTATCCTCAAAAATACTTTGACCACTTTACATTCATTGCTCAAAGTAACGAACAGTTTTGAATTTCTTTCTTTACATCCAATTTTCTGTTCCGGCCTCATGTTGAACTGTTGCTGCCCGTGGGCCTAATTGTATTTTGGTGCATGAACAAGGGGCTCATTGTAATGCGCTGGTAACGTGGATCTCCAAATTGATAGACACATAACAGGGTCATCATTCATTTGCATTTTAACAAGTCCTTCAGCTATGACACCGGATCGTGTGAATTCATTACCACACAGGGCTGCAGTTCATCCAGCCATCTATTAGTAACGCCAATTAGTTTACTGGGACAGGTTTAGGGGATTCAGACTCACTCAGGCAACCAAAGCTGCCCAAACTTCTTCATGTCAAGGCTCCCATGACAGACGTTTCATTAAGATTTTGTATCAGTGACCCACATTTTAAAAGGTTTTTAAAACAAAAGTTAAATCAGCAGATTAAAACCTGTGATTAGCGGTTATTTTTAAGTTTAATAAACATTTATTTGGTCTATCACCTTTATTTCCAATCAGAGCTTGTTATAACCTACAGTCTATGGTTATAACACAATACATGTATTGTTCATGGTTTTTCATGTAATCTATCTTAATGTGTTGAGCACTTACTTTTCTTCAGAACTTTCTTTTAGGTTTGCTGTTATTTTGGACATCTTGCAGGAAAATTAAAACCAAAATGTCTTCGGCTCTTCAAACTGCAAAAGACATTCTTCATTAAAAAATCATAACATCAGGCAGATATATGAGAACAAATATAATCACACAGGATGTGGATAAACCATGGGGTGGTTTTGTTTAATACTTTGCTTTCAGTGAAAGAAACAGACGAGTCCAGTATGAACTTGTTTATTGTAAACTGAAACGTACAGGTTAAACACGCCTTGCCACATGAAGCTATTTCTTCATAAAAGCACAGGAAGCTGTTGGTTTGCCATAAAAGCCTGTCATGTTCGGGAAAATGCTGGGACCTATAACCTGTTACAATCATCTAATTTCCCTTCACTGTTCACAGTTTTAGCAGCAATAAATTCAGTCTTTATCACTGAGATCTCTTTGTCCCCTTCACTCGTAAAGATTAGACTGATAATGTGACAGCACATCACATACACACATTTAAACTGGAATCAATGCTGAAGGTGTTCCACAATCCAAAACTTTTTTGGTGGTTATAATTGTTGACTGTAATAGACAAACTAATTGCATACAGAAGCGCTTCACCAAAAAAAAGTATCAGAAAGTCATCTATTTTTTATTTGAATAATTACTTGTTTAATCAATAAAATATAAACAGATTTTAATTGTGTCTAAGCTAGAGTTCTGCAAATATCATTGAATAATTTACAAAAGGCTGTCACTTTATAATTTTAACTTGTTTAAAAGGTGGAACTTTTTAATCAATGTATATATAGTTTTTCGCAATAATTATTATACCAAATTGTATTTGTTGATTATATTGCTTAGAATCTGAATCTGCACAGTAACTAAAGTTATGTAATACAGTGGAGTAAAAGTAGAAGTAAATTATGAAGTAACATACAGTTGAATGAAAGTAAAAGTACCTCAAAATTATTCTAAAGTAGATCACTTGAGTAAATGTATACCAGTATCTGGAAGTGAAGCACCTGTTTTGTGTCTTTTGTTGACACCTAAGCATGAGTAAATGTATACCAGTATCTGGAAGTGAAGCACCTGTTTTGTGTCTTTTGTTGACACCTAAGCATATATTAAAAGTTGTTTAAGTTTGTATTGATAGAGCAACAACGCAAGGCTAAGTGCTAACTCTCAGGGCTTTATTTCTCCTGTCAAGGTGGTGCACCTGCTCACATCAGCTCCGCCTCCACCACCAGACCCCCCCCTGCCTGATGACTACAGTACCCAGGTCGCACCGCGCCGCCCTCCACTCTCTCTCTGCGCACAGTCCGCCTCACTGACTCGCAGAACCAGTTGGTTTGGCCCAGCTTCTTCTCCTTCTTCTTCTTCTTCTTCTTCTTCTTCTACTGCCTTCTCACTGCTGTGTGTGCTGCTGTTGCTGCCTGGTGCTGTCAACCTCCACAGAAGAGAGAAGAAGAAGAAGGCATATCCCTCCCTCTCCTCTGTTTCCAATTTGCCTTCACTTTCCTCCTCGCCGGCTCCATTGGCTTCCGTGCCGTGCCAGTCAACTCGCCTCCTTTCTCCCAGCCCCGAGTTGAGCAGCAGCAACAGCTCGGAAACATCTGGCCGCCGCAGAGTGCCCGTCCCTCCGCCTGCTCACCTCGGCTCGGCTGCCTGTTATGGAAATTAGTCCAAAGTCAATCTAGTTTTGTCTCCGGAGGGAAAAACGAAGGAGGATTTGACGAAGGAAGACGTTGGACCGTGTTGTCTGTAAGTCTTAATACCGGAGTCCGATTAAAGGAGGCTCAGGAGGGGAGAGGGTGGGTTAAAAAGTGGCTAAACCTTCCTTAGCATTACTGTGTTGTCTCCTCGCACTTATAGTTGCTATGTTAGCCGTTCGCTGTTTTAACGGCTGTTGTCATAGCACCGGGGCCTTCAGAACTGTAAATAGCGCAACATTGTAGCTTCTTCGTGTTCGATTTACTTTTGTTAGCCATGGTTGAGCTACAGCTAGCTGCGTGTGTGTGTTTCTTTCTGTGTTTGTTGTGTCTTCTGCGAGGAAATTCTTGTGTTGTCACAGCTCTGCCTCACGTTACTTTGACTTTTTATGCTAATTTACAAACTGTCAGTGTCGTGGTTGACTATCTAGGGCTGATTATTATTAAGTTAACGCGTGTATTAGGGGGATTCTTACAACAAACGTATTGACATAGGTGGAAGAAGTACTCCGATCTTGTTCGTGAGTCAAAGTAGAAGTACCAGAGTGTAGGAATACTCTGTTAAAAGCAATCAAAATTTTTACTCAAGTAACAGTAGAACAGTATTGGCATCTAAGTATACTTAAAGTACCAAAAGTATTAATTGTGCAGATTGGCCTTATTTTAGAATCATAAATATATTGAGTTTTGATTATAATTAGTGATGTATTAATGTGTTTAACACAGCTGGTAAAGGTGGAAATAATTGTAATTACTTTATTCAGCAAAGTAACTAAAAGTACTACGTTAATGCAGTGAAGTAAAAGTACTATATTTACCCCTGAATTGTAGTGGAGTAGAATTACAGAGTAGCGACTACAATTACCTCAAATTGTACTTAAGTACAGTACTTGAGTAAATGTACTTAGTTACTTTCCACCCCTGCTTATTGATCATTGAGGACCTGGGTGTGACCAGCTGTTGGATTTAGCGCTGTTACGGTGTTAACATGTCAAACTAAAACAGAAAATGAAATCGTTTTTATGAAGCGACTTTCACTCTGATAAAATATATCGGGTAATTAAATGTCTCAGACTTTGAAAGCAGTGCTGATTTTAAACCTAAGCTTATAACATATTGTAGAAGTTGGATTTGACTGAATATTATCAACAATGAAACTATTTAAAATATTTGTTGTTGTCGGTTTGTAAGAGAAAACCAGGGAAAAGTGATATCATGCGGGAATGTTTGCGAACTTATAAATGTATTTTATTGCTATTATAAAACAAAGCAAATATAACATTTCATATATTTAGCTCAACACTTGTGTGCTTAAATAAGTGCCTTTTTATCGTGCCTTTATTATAGGCATCTGTATACGACTTTTAAACTTGATTAAAAAGGTTTAATTGTTAGATCAGGCCACAATATTAAATCGAAAATAAAAGCAGTTTTCTTCCTATACTCGCATTTATGAAATATTAGGAAATTCTCACGCTTCAAACGTGACTTTTGTTTAAAAACGAAACCAACCGAGGCGGCTGTAATAAGCTGTTCTCCGGCTTATTAGGCTCGTATTGCTTTTGTTTACGACTTGCTCTCATCAGGTTCTTTATTACTTGTTCTCATTGTTTCCTCATTTCATTTTTGTTCCTGTCAGTTGTCCGAAGGGTCCGAACAGGCAGGGGGGGGGGCGATCGGTGGGTGGATGAATAGATGAATGAGTGAATGAATGAATACAAGACGAGGCAGCGGCGCTGAACCGTAAAGAAGTGGAAAACAATATCAGCTGCGTGCGTCTGTCAGTTGCAAATATGCTGTGTTTGGCCTTTGTTTATGGTTATTGGAAGGAGACAGAGGCATGGACAGAAGTATTTCAACAATTAACAAAAGTGTTTACACAGAACATCTGTATCTTCTGTGTAAACTTTCCCTTTTTGATAAGCAGTTGTGGGTACACTTACACTCCTCTGTTTTACATAAATCAACATCCCACTGCATTTAGTTGACCCATGTTTTTTTTCTCCCAGAGAGAGAAAAGGGGGAGAAACGGAGACAAAGTTGTGTGGTGTTGGTGTTGGTAGAATGAAAGAGGAGTCTGGTGGCAGGAGTGTAGAGGAGGCAGCATATGGCTGTAGAAAGAGCACAGCTGGAGGTAGCATCTCCATCTGAGGATGATGTCAGAGCAGCTGACAGGCTGCCATCCACCCCACCTCCTCCTCCTCCATCCCTCCACCGCCTCCACCCCTCCCCAGTCCTTTATTGTGAGTCTCAGCGGCAGCCTGGGAGAGTTACTGCTGTGTGTGTGTGTGTGTGTGTGTGTGTGTGTGTGTGTGTGTGTGTTTGTGGCTGCCGATCAGCGCCAGTTAGGAGAAGGAGGAGGAGGAGGAGGAGGGAGGTGGTATCTCGTTCCCCCTCCAACATCTCCTCCACTTTGCATCTGTCCCTCGCAGTTTGAACAGCGTGTTTTTTTTTTGCCTGCCTCCCTCTTCTTCTTCTTCTTCTTCTTCTTCTCTCCTCTTCTACCCACTCATTGATTCAGAGAGAGCAAGCGAGGAAGAGAGAGAGAGAGAGAGAGAGAGATACACAGCCATTCCCAGCCAGAGAGCCAAGCTATTCTGCTACAGTGGAGTTAATCAAGTTGATGCATACTGCTGCAGGTATTGTTTTGTGTGTGCATGTGTGTGTGTGTGCGTGTGTGTGCGTGTGTGTGCGTGTGTGTGTGAGGCAGAGTGAATAGAGTAGCAGAGTCTGGAGTAGTTATTTTGTTGTGCTGTGAGGATCTCCGGTGTGTCAAAGCAGTGTGAGCGCGCTGTGTGAAGCTACTGGTGAGTAGTAAACTGGTGTTTGTGCTGCCTGTCCGAGGTGTAGCTGCAGTCCGGGAGGTCTCGGCTGGCTTTTAGTTTGTTGTCTGATGAGCTGCATTTTAAACTACTTGTTTTGCGATTTGTTTTTGTTTTTGTGTTGTCAGGCGTTTTGTGCAGTCGCTTATTAATTGAAAGCAAAGTTACAACTGAGAAAATGTTATTTTAAATTGAGCTTTGTTATTATGTTGTGCAATTTCATTCATTTTAACATTTTAAAAGAAAAATGAAATCCTAATGAAAATGTTTATTTTTTTACATTTTAGTTAAAAAAAGGAAATTTAAGACATTTTCTTTTTTAAAGTGTTGAATTCAAACAAATAAATAAGCTTTATTTTCTTAATAAAATACCTAAAAATGTCTAACTTTAAGCCAATATCTGCTATTTAATCCTATTTATCTAAACTGTTTTTTTTTTTCAGTTAATTCTAACTCTGTAAAATTACTTGAAAGCATGTGCGGTCTTTTCTCCCCTCCTGCCGGCTGGAGTAGAGGAGACTAATTTAGAAGTTGCAGATTTGAGCTGCCTGAATTGGCTAGACAGCTGTAATCGCACTCCCTCCTAGTCTTAATCTCTTTATCTGGCTAGCAGCTGCCATATGGCCCCCGTCAGCTGGATCAGATGTGGGTAAGCCTCCCTCCCCGGCCATCCCAGCCTCACCCTCTCTCCCTCACCCTCTCTCCCTCCCTGTGCCTCCGTCAGACCCCTGCCTGCGCTAACTGGCCGTCCTGGCCGGGTGACGGGCTGCTGCCCTCCTGAGCCTCCGCTGACGGCTCCCTCCCCACCAACGCCGTCTTTATTTTTAGCCATCTTTAAGGATTAGGATTGATGCTGTGACGAGCAGGGCACTTACAGTGATTGTATTGTAAATCTTCTCTTCTGGGCGGTGGTGGTGGTGGAGTTGAGGAAGAGGGTAGTTTCTACTACGGGGTCGGATGTGCGGGATTTTTTTTCTTGTAATATTCAGATGGTGTGTGAAAGGAGGAGGTGGCAGAGGGGTTTGACTGGACAGAGTGGGTGAGGGGGGGGATGGAGGTGGGAGGTGGGAGGTGGGAGGTGGTACACCCTTGTCCCTGTAAGCCCCCTCATTAAAAGCAGTCTGAACGAGCCGGAGGGCGAGCACACACACATATACAGGACACACACACACTCAGTCTCACACACACAGGGACATTCTTGGTTTAGCTTCATTCAAATGAGGTGATTTAGCTGCTTTGGTTAACACAGTGCGGAGCGGGACCAATGTATTTTCTCAGGCAGGACAAATTGACTTGGTTAACAGGTGGGACTTAATGATTTGACATATTTCAGCCTTGTAATCACCTTCTGTCAGCTGATATTTAGTTGTGCATTTATTCTATCAATTAGATCAATTACACCTGCAGAGCAGTGCTGCAAGTTTTCAGCCTTTTTTTTCCCTCTTCTCTCTACTGGTCTCACGCGTGAAGCCGGCGCTCGCAGGTTAAACAAGGGACAAGCTGTTTTGTTTTCAGCTGTGCGATTTCAATTGGCCAGTTTTCCTGCTCGACTTAGCCTGTGGAGGTGGTTGGTAGGTAGGCTGGAACCTAAGTGTGTGTGTGTGTGTGTGTTTTATATGTGCGGACAGTGTGTACAGCTGAAAGCCGGTTACCTAAAAGGGCTGTGCCAGGCCAGGCCAAAGTGGGTTAATAAAAATAACCAGCGTAGGAGCAGCGACAATCCAGGAGTGCAGGCAGAGGAGTTAGAGAGAAACAGAGAGGATCGCAGAGACAAGAATCTGTCGCTGCTGCTTTAACAGAGATTAAGTCTGTCTGAGGGTAACAACTGAATTAGTGATTATTCTTTCATTATTGTAATATTTCTTTAAATCTAATTATCAGTTTCCTTTTTTCCCCTTTTCTATTTTTAGATTGTAAACAGTGTAAATTATTAATAGAAATAACATCAAGATTTGGCATCGTTGAACGTATGCATGACTTTACAGCTGCCTGCGTGGTGCTGAGCAGAAATATTTCTATTAATGTTGTGAGTGATGAGAAATCCTATCTATTACTTATTACTACTATACATATGATATTTAAATATATTCCAAATATGTGGTAATGTTTCTGCATATTTGAGGGTGTATTTTTCGTAGTATTTTATTTACATGTTTCAGTGTTTCAAAATGTTTTTAATTGACTTCTGTGTGTCTCAGTTTTTACCGACCCATCTTCTCCTGCTGCGTTTCTTTTCGCCCGCTCGTCGTGTTCTCTGTAGATTGTTATCGGCATCGCATACCATCTGTGACTTTGGCATTTGTCTTCTCTTTTTTGCATATCTGCTATTTCTTTTTAGTTGACCTCGTTTAAAAATAATTTTGTTTGCAGGAATTGCGAAATTATGATAATCACACAGCCACGATTTGTACACTTAACGTGAATTGTATCATACTTTGTCACCATTTTAAAATGATATGAAGTCGCCTTGCCTCTTCAAAACCTTTCCTTTTCTGTCCTCTTTGAATTTAACTTGTCTTTTGCTGCTTTTCCGTTCACGTTTTTGGTTCCTTTTTTTCTTTTTGCGTATTCACCTTCATAGAACAAATACTGAACCCTGAAAACACATTTTTATTGAAAACACAACACTTAATTAAGAACTTGCTAAACCTATTTAATAACCATCAGCTTTGACATCTCAGATCTTTATCAGATGTATCTAACGTTGACTCTCTCTCTCTCTCTCTGTGTGGCTGCAGGTTATGAGGACGGCAAGATGGAGTTCCCAGACCACAGCAGACATTTACTCCAGTGTCTAAGCGAGCAGCGGCACCAGGGCTTCCTGTGCGACTCCACGGTTCTGGTGGGCGATGCTCAGTTCCGGGCCCACCGGGCTGTGTTGGCCTCCTGCAGCATGTACTTTCACCTCTTCTACAAGGACCAGCTGGACAAGAGAGACGTGGTGCACCTCAACAACGACATTGTCACAGCCCCAGCTTTTTCTCTGCTCCTGGAGTTCATGTACGAGGGCAAGCTGCAGTTCCAGGACCTTCCCGTGGAGGATGTGCTAGCAGCGGCCAGCTACCTGCACATGTATGACATTGTCAAGGTGTGTAAGAAACGTTTGAAGCAGAAGTCCCCGACCGAGGCGGACAGCACGCGCAGAGAAGAGGACGGCGGCTCCAGCTGCTCCGACAAGGCCGACAGTCTCTCAGAAGGATCCACAGGCCGGCCTGCTACTGCCGACCTGCTGCCCAGCGACGAAGACGAGGAGGCCAAGGCCGAGCGAGGAGCGATGTGGCTGAGACTGCCGTCTGCAGACAGATCAGGGACGCCAGCCACGGCTACAACCAGCCCGGGGCACACAGAGGCGGAGACCCAGGCTGGGGAAGGATTGAGGGAGGGGGTGAAGCGGCTCTCCCCGGCCGGCAGCCCCTCCAGCTCCACAGGGTCCCTCTCGCAGCGCTCACACCGCTCCGTCAGCTCTCGTGGAGGGCAGCGGGGCAGGAGGGTGTCAAACGATGCAGCGGACTGCGTCCTGGACCTGTCAGTCAAGCCGATCGCCGGTAGCAACCACAGCAATCACCACCAGTCGTATTTCAGCGGGGCAGCGACGCCAGACAGGCTCCAAAGCCCATTGGCTGTGAGGGTGAAGGTGGAGAGGGGCGTAGCTTCGGAAGAGGAAGAGGAACTCGGAGGTGGGGACTATGACATGGAGCACAGCGGCATCACCAAGGCCACAGTTCCCATCACCAATGGGGGCCTCGGGCACCACGGGGTCGGCGGGCCCCTGTCGGCCCAGAGGAGGCTCGGCCTGGAGGCCCACCTGTCCGCTCTGCGAGAGGCCTCCCTGGCCTCAGAGATGGAGCGGGAGGAGAAGCCCTCGGCCACAGCGGACGACGAGGACATTCTGGGGGGCGAAAACGAGCGCGCCCAGGCCGAGGTGGCCAGCATGGACAGCGCCCTGCTGCCCTACGTCTCCAACATGCTGTCAGCTCAACACACTCAGATCTTCATGTGCCCGCTGTGCAACAAGGTGTTCCCCTCCCCGCACATCCTGCAGCTCCACCTCAGCTCCCACTTTAGGGAGCAGGAGGGCATCCGCGCCAAGCCCGCCGGAGACGTCAACGTGCCCACATGCACCATCTGCAGCAAGACCTTCTCCTGCATGTACACGCTGAAGCGCCACGAGCGGACACACTCCGGAGAGAAACCCTACACCTGCACCACCTGCGGCAAGAGCTTCCAATACTCACACAACCTCAGCCGGCACGCCGTGGTGCACACGCGTGAGAAGCCGCACGCCTGCAAGTGGTGCGAGCGGCGCTTCACGCAGTCCGGGGACCTCTACCGACACATCCGCAAGTTCCACTGCGAACTGGTCAACTCAATGTCGGTGAAGAGCGAGCCGCTGGCGCTGCCTAATGTCAGGGACTGGGCGATCGAGGACAGCTCACAGGAACTGTGGAAGTAGAAACACACTGCAGGGTTTGATAAAGGGAAAGAGCGGAGAGTGAAAGAAGGGCAGAGAGGCATTGGGGGGTGAAAGGAAGAAGGCAGAGTTGATATGAGGGGTTCAAGAGAGTCATGTTCGTGTGTGTCGCAAAATCTCATTCAATTGCACTTTAATAGCACATGAAAATGTTACTACTGAGTTTTTTTGTTGTTGCTGTTTGGGGTGATTTTGTTTTGTTCTATTTTATTCTGAACTCTTATTATTATTTGGCGTTAAGTTCTGTTTTGGTGGTTTTTATTGCGTCTAAGGACGAGGGTCCCAGAGAGAATGTCTCGCCTTCTGGGAGAGTTTTCACTCCGTTCGTGTTTCATCTCAGACAAAAACACTCCGACGCTGGCCCCAGATCCTCAGACAGCAAACGCCACCGCAAGAGTTCAGGTCGAACACACTGAAGTGAAAATACAATACACTAAACGGGTACTGTGATCAGCACACACACACACGGTTTGAAGAAGTGTGTGTGTGATACTGCACTACTCTGGCAAAAATTTCACCTGACGTGCGTGAGTGTGTATGAGTGTGTTTTGTGTGTATTAATTTTATTTTCTACTGGCATGGAGGTGTGGTTGGCGAGGCGCTTCTCGCTCTTTGGTGGTGTGTGTTCAGGGTAACGCTGACTGACTGACAGACTAACTGATGGCACTCATGCAATGCACAGCCTCCTTTTTTCACTTCCAATCAATTTGAAGTATTTTCTAAAAATGAAAAGACCTTTACAGATTATTATAATAATTATTATTGTTATTAATAGCATTTTTTCTTAAATCTAGCTGGCAGTCTTTAAACCATCTGTTGTTGGAAAGGTATTTAATTTAAGGTTGTTGTATATTGTTCTGCTATAGTTTTAGAATTTAAATCCGTTACATTTTTTTAAAAATTAATTATTATTATTATTATTTTGTTACTTTTTTTGTAATGGGACCTGCTGTTGTTGCATGATGTCCAAACCTGTATATTTTAAAATACAAATGTGAATTTGCTGTATTACTGTACACATTGTAATTGATCAAATATTTGACAACAGGCTTTCTTTTTCTTTTCTTTGTGAATACTACTCCAGGGTGCAGTCTGTTGAAAAGCTGAATATATTTCTCACGACGTTGGGGGAAAAAATGCATGAGAATTTGATTTTGTCTTAAACCTTTTTTCAGTTGTGGTTTTGGCATCAGGCGGTGGGTGGGAGGTGTTGAACGTAAAACTTTTGACCGTGAAAAGTTGGATTTTTCTGCTCGTTGTAGTTTCTGTCGCTGGGCTCGTAGAAGAATGTTACCGAATGTGTTTCCGTCGGGTGCTGAAGCGATATGATGAAGCATTTTAAGCCTGTGTGTATATGCACTGATCTCTCTGCTGCGTGTGTGTGTGTGTGTGTGTGTGTGTGTGTGTGTGTGTGTGTGTGGCTTGGTTATTACCAGTCAATTTAAACCTACTGAAGATCTACCGCACACACACACACACACATCTTCTCCTGCTCCTCCTCAGGCGTTCAATGTCTCCACTGCTGTAGATATTCACCACCTCTCATGTCTCCGTCCTGCTCCAGCTAATAAGACCACGTGAAAGCCATTTTCCTAATACTTATTCGCTCATTGGGCATCTTACTTCAGGTCTGTTGAGTGCAGTAATATGCGCCTCTGGGCTTGCTTTGGCGTGAAGAATAAAGAGAAAAGAAAACGGAGCTGTCCTGCTGAAGTTAAGGGTAGATATGTTTGTGCTGAACCCGTACAATGAAGTGATGTGAATGTGTTAACACGTCCATTATGCCGTCGGGGTGTGTGGGTGTGTGGTGTTTTCCCTCTTCAAACATAATTCCCTTATCGAGGATCCGATGAGAGAGAANGCGTGCCTGCACACCTCCTGATATATCTGCTGCACTGGTTAAGGTGTAGGCTGCATCTGAGAAGAAATTGTGCAACAGCTTGTTGAGATTCAACCCCCTGCAACACACACACACACACACACACACACACACACACACACACACACACACACACACACACACACACACACACAGCCTCTTACTAAAGCTCCTCAAGTACAGTTTTCCAGTAAAGAAATCAGCTTTAGCTAATGTATTGCTGCTCAGTAAACCTGTTCTTACAGATGCTTGAAAAGCCCCTGCACTCAGAGGCCAAGGAGCAGCGTTCATTAGGGCCCAGATGGTCTCTTCAGTAAGCCCCGACGCACACTCACGCGATAAGCTCACGTCTAATCTGTGTGACATTGTCTGATGAATGGCCAGTATTGGTTTAAGGAACTTCCAAGTGGTCAAAAGATTTCAGTTTGTTGTCCATTTCAGGAAGAGTTTTAACAGTAACAACTCACATGTCTTAAATTGGATGGGATTTATGTCACAGTAGTTCATCATGCCTTACATTGTTAGGAGATTTCTCAATGTCTACAATTATGGGGAATATTTACTTTAGTTAAAATGTGCAAAATATTCAAAAAGTCAGTCTTTTTCAGCTACCTGCCCTGAGCGGTGCTTTAAATCTCCATCCAGGCAGACAGCAGACATTATAATAGCAACCCTTCCCTTTGGTTATGCGCTGCTTGGTGATCATTAATTGCAATCTGCAGTGTTGTAAGTGAACATCTGCTTATAGACAACTGCTCGCGCGCTCTCCCTGCGAGGAGGCCGTGCGAGGTTTGTCGTGAATGTAGGTCATTAATTTGTTTCTGTCCTTTGTTTACTTAAGGAAGGGGGACAAAGGGGCAGCTGCAGAACCATTTGGCTGTGCCCAAGGCAGGCCAGCTCAACATGTTGGGAGGCTGAGACCAGCTTGGGCTCCTGTCTGGGGGCCCGGGCCCCTGCACTCTGCGGCTTCGCGTGAGGGAGCGGCCTCTGCCAAGCTGCCAAAGAGGGCTCCCATGTACCAGGAGAGGGAGGAAGGGGGAGAGGAAGGGAGATAAAGAGGAGACTGTCATGTGGACTCCAAGTGTCCTGATGTTTGGCTGTTGCTCCACATTTTCAAACCAGTTTCCAGCTCATGTCTTTAAACTGGCATCTGCAGAGTTTGGATGAGAAAACAATCTCCAGAATTTCTTAACAACTCTCAAGACAGATCATCTAAAGCTCTAGATGTTACTTTTGAGAATGCAGGACACATACAGTATGTTTATGTATCTAAACAGAGTTATTGTGAATAATAAGAACACAGTCAAGGATTGCCTACAGTAGCCCATGGGTTTTTTTGTGTATACAAAATTGTAGATGAACAAATGTACAGTAATAACAAAGCTTGGTGAAAGCCCACAACAAACAGTATTCCAGCTTTTAGCCTCAACACGCCGACCGCCTTTTCAAAGCAATGCTAACAGCGTCCATTCAAAGCCTGTACGGCACACACGGGGAGAAAAGCCTTCTGTATCCTTTTCATGTCCGGGACTTGTTGATTCTCCGTGAAAAAAGGAAACACTCCCAGGCCAGGTCTAGCCATGGAAGAATTGAAAGAGGGAGAGGAAAGCAGAGACAAACGTGTGTGTGTGTGTGTGTGTGTGTGTGTGTGTGTGTGTGTGTGTGTGTGTGTGTGTGTGTGTTTATGAGTGTGTGGCTTGGTTATTACCAGTCAATTTAAACCTACTGAAGATCTACGTTCACCCAGCACTTCCTCCTCCTGCTCCTCCTCAGGCGTTCAATGTCTCCACTGCTGTATGTTTGTTCTCCACCTCTAATGTCTCCGTCCTGTCTCCAGCTATAGACCCACGTCGAAAGCCATTTCCTAATTATTTTTGCTCATTGGGCACTTACTTCAGGTCTGTTGAGTGCAGTTATATGGCTCTGGCTTGGCTTTGGCGTGAAGAATAACAGAGAAAAGAAAACGGAGCTGTCCTGCTGAAAGTTAAAGGGTTAGATATGTTTGTGCTGAACCCGTACAATGAAGTGATGTGAATGTGTTAACACGTCCATATGTGCGGGTGTGTGTGGGTGTGTGTGTTTTCCTCTTCAAACATAATCCTTACTCCGAGGTCGATGAGAGAGAATTGGCATGCCTGAATGCACCTTTTTAAGCTAAAAGACAAGAAATCAGATTTTTTGCTGAAAAGATGCCTTTGTTAAAAAACAAAAACATTTCTGACGCTATGGAAGTATTTGATACTGTAAAGCATTGGGAAGTTAAAATCATATAGAAATTCATGGAATTTATCAGAAAATGATATTATATTTTGATCATATGATTGGAAAACAATTTTCTTTTGTATGTGAATGTTGTGTTTGAGTCGGGGGATACACTGGTTGATAATTTTTCAGTTTTTTCAACTCTAGAATTTTGTTAGAATTTAAAAATAATGGTCAAGCGTTTTTACAATCTGGAAACATTTGACACAGAGATAATTCAAATTGAACGCTCTACATTTCCCCTCACTCAGATATGTGTGTGTGTGTGTGCACGCCCCCAGTGATGTGCATGTGGTGGTGGGGGGCGGGGGGGGGGGTTGTCTGTGTTGCCCTGTCATCTGGTGGCACCTACAGGCTTTGCCAAGGCAACAGTGTGGGTGACATTGCGGCAGTTTGCACCGCATCGTCTAATTTTTCTTCTCTAAACGTTATTCCTCCGCTGCATATGGGCTCACTCCATCCTGCTGTTGTTTTCATCATTACTGCTGTGTTTTTTATTTGTTTTGTTCTGTTCCTCTGGTTGTACTTGACCGCCTTAAACTGCTGTAGTCCGGGCTGTTTTTCAAATGTTTTATTTTTAAAGTGTGAGCGTGGAGGGGGGGAAGGGGGGGGGGAGCGAGCGATGTCAACCGCTCAAGACGCTGTGAAGTATCCGCCCCGACGAAACATCTCCATCTTTTGCTGTGCTTACTTGAAAACAAAAGGGGGAGTTTATTTTATTTTTTATTTAAAGCAAGGTTTAAAAATATGATGTTCAAATGTCATAGACAGTTTATGGAAAATGATGAGGGGGGAGGTGGGCGTGAAGTGACTGAGTCTGTTTCGAAAAAGGACAATCACTATCTGGGAAAAAACAAGCAGATTTTGATTCAGATATATTTGCTCCCTCTTGAGATTAAGAAATGTCTTTGCTTTTCTTTCATGTTCCTTTTTCAGATGTAGTCATTTTTAGCTTTGACAATCATAGTTGGGTTAATTTTTTTTTCTCAAGGGGAGTAAATTCTAATTGTGTTTAGTTTTGTAATTTTTTGGTGTGCTGTTGTTGACATTTTTAAATTGTGTGCAAACTGCAATAAATTATAAGAATCTTGAAATTCAACCTCCTGTGTGAAGATCTATTTTTTCTCGAAAAAAGAAAATCACGGCTCGTCATTATGTATAATTTAACCATCAACAACTCATGTGTTTCTACTTATGTTCATGCTTAGCTTCTCCTCTGCCATAGGAAAACACAGAAATAACAGTATAAAGAAATTCAACATATTTTTAAGCACATTTTGATGTAGGGAAAATGCAGAAACTTTGGTCTTATATGCACCTCACACACTACAGGTTGCAGCAGGGCGAGTGCAGGAGGTTTTCACATCCTGTTCCTTAGGGACTTGCAATGTGGGTGGAAGTTGTGTGTGTTTGAAAACTCACTGTGTGTTCATGCGTGCCTGCACACCTCCTGATATATCTGCTGCACTGGTTAAGGTGTAGGCTGCATCTGAGAAGAAATTGTGCAACAGCTTGTTGAGATTCAACCCCCTGCAACACACACACACACACACACACACACACACACACACACACACACACACACACACACACACACACACACACACACACACACACACACACAACTAC